AACATTAATCGGATAGCGCCACTCCTAACGCTCGGCGGCACTGGCCCTAGCGGCTGCCGCGCGCGCGGTGAAGAGAGGAAAGGAGGCGTATACCACGAGAATCAGCTGAAAAGATGAAATAATTCCGAGGCCTGGGTTAAATTAATAATAAGAATGACAGTAAAATTAATAATAATAGTAAAAAAAAGTGTTAATATATTAAAATTAGTAACTAATTTGGTTTTATACATATAGAAACATTACAAAATATACATGAGTGCTAAAAAAAAGACAATTTTAATAGGACGACTTCGAAAGCTTATGATATTTTAGATTAAAGTGTCAAGATTGTGTATTTTAGTGGATTTTGTGTCATTCCTCAGGAGGGAGAACCAAATTTAAAAAATCATGTCCGGTGAAAACAAAGTTAGGAAAGTTGAAAGGAGGTTCTATGTATTCGATGGTAGAGGCATTGGAAAGGACAGAAATGTTATCGAAATTTGGATTGTCAGGCAATTCATTAATAAGGTTTTCTATGGATGGATAGGAACTGGGAAGTGTCGGGGGCCGATATTCTAGAATCTCAGGTAGTTCATCAAAGATTTCTAGAATTAATGAAATCGACTTCGATAGGGAAGGTGGCCTTAATTCGAAAATATGCTGAGACTGAGGAGGTTCCTGAGAAATTATTGGAATGATACGTGGTGAATCTATCTGTGTGTATGGTTCTAGTGGAGTGTAAAATTCAGGGCGGGTGTGTTTGTCTACGTCGATTATTGCGCGCGTGGAGATCCTCGCCGTGTACCTAGTGTACGGCGAGAGTATGGCAGCTAATGACAGGTAGAGTAAAAAAGGACGCTCCCTTCGAACTCGACCCTGACGATCCCCAGCAACGGGCAGCAAAGAACGTTTGGTTTCACTGACGGTGATAATTTGGGAATATGAGTATAAAAGATAATAAGGGAAGAATGGGAAAATGTGAAATCAGAGAAGAGGAAAGATAAGAAAGGAAGAAAATGAAGAAAATGAATTAACTTACTCGTTACGAAGCATTACTCGTTTCTGTAGGTAGACACAATTCGAGCAGATCTTAATAGATTCGTGAAGTGGTCGCTCCTGCTGAGAATCGCTGTTCTTAAGGATGAATTCTTGTTCCGGAGTAAGTGCCGAATTAGTGACTAAGTTCTATTTTTTTTTTTTGATAGCAACTAAACTTTCGATTCATGGACCGCATTACTAATGAAGAAATGTGGCGAACGGTGTAAAAACTCTCGACGAAATGTGGAAAAACTGTGTTGAAGTGACCCGGACACGAGTTTTTATACCCTTTTCCTGAGGTGGATCCATTTGAAAAATCTTAGATTTTCGAGGCAGGAGTCAAATAGAAGTTAGTTTTACAAGGAAATTTCAATGCGGGGAAGAATAGTGTCACATTAGCTAATAAGATTAGCGTTTAGATCATGTCACTTATGATGGAGATGGGGAAAAAGGATCTTAACGAATAAGGAACAGCGTCGTTTTGGGTCCATATACAGTAGGGGTAAGTTTCAATATTGCATAATCTGGTTGGTGTTGATATGCATTAGTGGGGTCCATCTCGATGTCTTTTAGGATAAGATGGACCGGTGGGTGGTCTATAGATGTGGCTGCTCTAATTCTAGGCCTTCTGATTGGAGGGTTGAAACTTGGTCGAATACAGGTTGATAATGTCTTAGGTTGCGGAACTAATAAATTTGACATTTTATGCCGGTCGCGTGCCTCACGTGGAAATTATAGCTAATGCATCTCGGTTTTCCAGACCTACTGAACACGTGCGCGGTGTCAAGTTTGACGCCTTCTTCGCGCTCGACTCAGGTCATTGCCTAGTCGTTCCCCAGTGTATCTTATCTGTTTGGCAGGATTCCTGTGGTTGGAATCCGTGGGTTTAAGCTAGCTGCTTACAAATGGCAATTTTTTCATATATATTGTTGCGTTCTTTTTCGTCGTTAATGCTGCGTGCCAGTGATGCAAGATCGAGCATCCTGCATCAAGCACCACATGAGGGGAAGAGCCCCCACCATGGCGGCACCACACAAGCGAGTATCGCTGACGTCA